AAGGGCAGCGCTCCGCGTGACGCTCGGCCTGCAAAACAAGCGGCCATGTTGGCGCCTTAACCCCGCGCGCGCCGGCCGCGCTGGGACCCGGGACCCGGCCGTGGCTCGGGCTGGGCCTGGGGGTTGGCAACCCACAGGCCGTGGGAACCGGGAGGGATTTCTAAGAACTTTGAGAAAAGGCTGGGCCCGGCAACTTCCCCGGGGTGTTTGGCAATGCCACCCCGAGGCCCGCAGGGCGGGGCCGGAGCTCGCATTGTGGCGGGTTGCTCTGGGTCACCTTCTTTCGTTTTGCCCCAGCTTAAAGGCCCAGGCGGAGGCAGGTAAGGCAGTCACAGCGGCCTTCGGGTTTTGCCGGGTGGCCCAGTGTCAGGTCCTGCTGCTCAGCGCAGGTCCCACCAGTCTCCCAGCCAAGAGTCAGGCCCTGGCCTCCGAGCTGACTGGACCGTGCCCATCGGTCCACCGCCAGGCTGAACGCCATCTGCCCAGATCAGGCCCAGCACGCCTGTGGCTCAGGCCTAACTTAAATGTGCATGCTGATGTCAGTCACTTAGCTGTTTTCCAGGTTCTGCAATATTCTTTCATCATACCATCATCAGTCCTTCAAGATCTGGCCTAACTAGATGGAAGCTCCATCGGGAAGCCCTCCCCAGCTGCCCCCTTGCTTCTAGCAGAATCTGTAGCTGTCCTCCTCAGCCTGCCTCAGGGACCACTGGCTGCTGCTGTAGCACTATCTGGGTAGGACCCGTGTGACACTGGCCTTTGTGTCCTCTACTAGGTCACTCAGGAGATGGTTGTTGCACAAGACAACCATGAAATTATTGAATGGGTTTGTATCAAGATTTAGGTGCAGGAAACAGTTTTGGGTGTTCAAAACAAATGTTCTGGACCTTGGGCAATAGAACATGCAATGGAGTTTTTAAAATCTCTGTAATGGAATCCTTTTGTGTGTTTAATTGCTCGAAGTTACTTTGAGTAGAAATGTCAGGCTGCCATAGGAGCTCAAACCATAGGTCTGAGTCCCACCAAGACGACTAACCAGGGAGGGCCACGTTTGGTCTTCCTGTGTCACCAGGTTTAGGGCTTCTTTGTGGCCTCTGGTCTGTCAGTGTAGCTGTGAGGGCCTTGGATGGACTTGAGGTCTAGGTGGGGATCTCATGAGGAGGCAAAAAAGAACGCAGGTTTAGCACCCTGGAGAAGACTAAGACTAAAGGAGGGAATCCTTTCTTTTCCCTTTTAAAGGACTAAGCTAAAAGCTTGTCTACAGAAGGACTCCCAAAAACTCCTTTCATGCCTTTGCTACAGATAATTTGCTGAATGCTCATTAAGGGGAAAACAAAGAGGTGGTTTTGTTTATTTATTTAAGAGGAAAAATAAATGAGCTGTGACAAAACAATTTGAAACCAGGCCCCTCTGAGACCTGGGCTTTCACTTCCTTGATGGGAAGTAAAACAGAGAATCGAATCCCCCTCCAAATAAAAGTGAAGTTAATAATCAGACAGCTCGAGCCCAGGCCACATCCTGTGTCAGCTCCCTCCCTCCCCTGGCTCACTGTTTATAGCTGCTGAGCCCAGAGCCCACTTAACCCTCTCCTCCCTGTCCACAGAAGCCCAGTCCTGCTCTGAGGCTGGACACCAGCTCCTTACAAGCAAGGGCTGGCTTAGGAAGAGCTCTTTCTCCCAGGCCTGCCTACCTGTCCCCTATGGGCATGGGGCATGTCTTCTGCTTGTCTTGCAGAAAAATCCACTATCCCTCTTCCTGTCAACCCCGCTAGGACAAAAACAGGTAAACCCACTCCTGGTCCAGGTACCACATACCCAGTACGGCCTGGTTTTAGAGAATGACATTCTGATGGATGCAGGCACCAGTCTTCAGGCTTCCAGGCCTGAAGTGAGAGCCGCATTCTGTATGTTTCTTTGGGCTACTTTCTGTGAAAACTTTCCACTCCCTTCAGCCGCCTTCTTACACTGTAGCATGTTGACTTCTAGAACCTCAAGGGGCAAGTGGCAGCACATCCATCACCGCCATAGGGCTCAGGAGGAGTCTATCAAGGGCTTTCTGCCCTGTAGGGTATTGTTAGCCTCATCCTACAGAGGAGGAAGTAGGGGTGAAGTCACTCGCCCAGTGTCACAGAGCTAATGAAGAGCAGAGATTTGAACCCAAGCATTGTGGCTGCAGGGTCTGGCTCTTAGCCCCTCACTCAAGGTCTCACTTTCTACTCTGGAGCTGGGGGCTTTCTTGGCATTGTAAAGCCTAGGATAATCTCACCAACACACTGGAAAGGTCCCAAAGCCCAAGGACTTTTTTTTTTTTTAAGTGAAGGAGGGAGCTGTTATGGAAGTTTATTTAACAAAAAGTTTAAAAAACATACATGATCCAATTTTTATGTCATAGATAAAACAGGAAGAGAGGACAGGGATGTCAGCTGAACATGCCTTGTTTAAGCTATTGCAAGGCTTCTGTCATCGTGACTTTCCTCATGTTCCCACCATTCCAATATTGGTTTTTTGCCCTCTAGATTCCATTTCTGTCAATTAAATCATTTATCACAAGATTTGGAAAGGGTTCAGATCCCACAGTATTTCTCACATGCATTTGTCACTGTTTAATTTCAATGCTACCCCCATCCCGCCCCCACCCCCAGTATTAGAGATGGAACACTAGGCCTTTACACCAAACCAAATCCACAGCCCTTTTCATATTTTATTTTGAGACAGCATCTTGCTAAGTGGCTAAGCTGCCCAGGCTGGGCTTCAGTCTCCCAGAGTGCTGGATTACAAGGAGAGGTCACTGTGGCTGACTTCGTGGTAAATACTTTTTTTCAACTTGGGACAGTGAGCTTTGTTCTGATGTCTACTTGGTGGGCTTGGAGCTGGTTTCCTCAAGGATCTTTTGAGAACTTTCCAACTGTGTCTCAGGCTGTCCTTCATCCTGTTTCATCCTAGGACAGAGGCACAGCAGGGGGACCTGTCGTGGCCCTTCCATCCAGCCCAGTCCAGGTCCCTGCACAGTGGTGCACGCCTCTGTGTCTGGCAGTAGGCCTCAGAACAAGGACTCAGCCTCAGCTTGGCTGCAGTGTCTGCAGTCTGGACAACCTTTGCTTTAAGTTCTCTTGTCCCCTCTAGTCTCGCCAACCGTGAGTCCTTCACCTGAAATCACAAACACTCTTTGTGGTTGAAACTTGTCTCGAAGAAAGACACTCATCACCTGACCTGAGGCCACTGGCTGGGCAGGCCTCCCGCCTCTCCCAGGACGCCCTGCTCTGCATGCCATGGTAATGGACTGGCAAGTGTGTCCCTGGCCAGGTCACCTTGCCCACCACCTGGCAGGTCCTTCTTCCCAGCAATCTGTTTCCTGGTGTCTGTAGGCCATCACCGACTGCCTGCCTGTAATTTGCAGAACACAGGGCTAGCTGTGTTCTGCTAGTGAACCCCAAACCCCATCTTTGGGAGTAAATTGATCTGCCATGGGTCTACTTTCTTGGGGGAAAGGGTGTGTTTTGCCACTCAAAGCCATGGGTGGGTATGAGAGGTGCCCTACTCACCTCCACCTCATTTGGCCAGAGAGAAGCTGTGTTCCACCCCAGCTGGCCTGTTCCTTCTGAAGGAGCAGCTCCTCAGGGAACACAACCGCCACGACTTCTCTGAACCTAGCAAGACTCCAAGCTCAGAAAGTTTTTTCAGAAGTGTTTTTTTTTAAAATGTGATGTTTAAGAAGACCATCTGGCTGGATATGGTGGTACATAACTGTAATTTCAGCATTTGGGGAAGCTGAAGCAGGAGGGTTGCAGGTTTGAGCCAGCCTGAGCAACTTAGTGACTCAGCAAAACCCTGTCTCAAAAATTAAAATAAGGGGCAAAGGGTTTTGCTCCATGTGAATGTCATGGATTCAATCCCCCAGTACTGCCAAAGTGGGGAGCAGAGAAAGAGAAGGGAGAAGGAAAGAGAAAGGAAGCTTTTACAATTCAGAGTACAGTGCTGGGGATTTAGCTCCGTGGCATAAGTGCCTGCCTGGCAAGCACGAGGTTGTGAGTTTGATCCCTGGTGCCCTCCCCCCAGTTCAGAGTATATCATATGGGGTGCTCTCTGCTGTGGTCCTCAGAGGCCAGGGCTGCAATCTGTGAAGAGCCTCTCAGGCCCAGGTAGCAGCCCTTAGCAGGGGAAGGCAGCAGACACATGAATCTACGCTCACATAGCAGTGGGGGCTATGATTCTCCCCTTTTCTGGTAGAGGGGAGTGAGATGAGAAAGGTTGAGGGCTCACCGACCAGTACAACGGCTTTCTGCTGAGGGGGAAGAAGCTCACTGATTTAAGCTGCATTAAAATGAACTTAAAAATAATTTTCACTGAGTTTAAAAGCAGTGTAAAAGTGGATACCAGCCCAGTTCAAGATTTTTCCCAGTTCAGGAAGCCCCAGAGGGCACAGCCTCACTCCTGACTTTCACAAATATGGGAAGGGGGTTTAAGGGACTTCTCTGAGCTGGATGTGCTGTCATTCCTGCAATCCTAGCTACTCAGAGGCTGAGACAGGAGGACTGCAAGTTCAAGGCCAGTGTGGGCACTTTATCAGACCCTGTCTCAAAATAGAATTTAAAAAGGGCTGGGGGCCAGGCATAGTGGTGCGCATCTATAATCCTGGGCTGAGGCAGGATTGTTGTGAATGTGAGGACAGTCTAGGCTACAAAGTAAGTTCAAGGCCCGGCTGAACTATAGCAAGATCCTGCCTAAAAAATAAGCAAGTAAATACAGTAGGCCTGGGGATGTGGTCAGTGGAAGAGCACTTGCCTAGTATGTGTGAGGCCCTTAGTTTAATCTCCAGCACCACAGAAAGCAAGAAGAAGAAGAGAAAAGAGCTTTCCTGCCCCCGGGTGGGGTCCATCCTGTCTCTGTTCTCCCTCACAGATCTTTGGCTAGCCTCAGCTTTTATCCAAGAGCTCCTGTCTTTAGGATGTAGATACTGTGTGGCAAGAACCAGGAAGACCAGAATCATTAAGTTAAAATTGCTTCAGTTTTCATGAAAACACTTTTATTACAATTTTAAACACCATGAACCCTAGCACCCCAGCTCTGGCAACTCACCATGTCCCTCTCAAGTGTACCATCAGCCTCCTCCAAGCCGCCTCTCGTGGAAGTATTTTGTTGTTCGTTTTCTCTTGCATTGCAGGCAAGAGCTGTATCACTGAGCTACACCTACAGCCCCGCTCCTGTACAATTTTAAAGTAAATCCTGGAAGGCAGATCATATCACTTTGCTATCAGTATTCCAGTGCGACTCTAAAAATCAGGCTCATTACATTTAGCCACATTATTTCAACCTGAAAATTACCAACATCCCTTAAACATGACCAACATTCGGTTAGTGTTCAAATTTTCAGAACAGCTTTTGAATTCTGCTTTTTGTTCAAAGAGAAAAGAAAGAAAATCCCTAAAATAAGAACTGTTCAGCCTTTAGTCATATCCTCACAATGCAGCTCCCGGAAGGGCAGATTTCTGAATCTGGGCAGCAACGCCGTTTGTCAGGTCTCTGAGGGCTGCCATCTCTTCAGTCGATCACTCTGGCTGCAGCTGTCTGTGTCGTGGGTGCTAGGTCAGACTGTGCGGAGTTCCGTGTGGACAGGAACACAGGCCAGGGTGGGGTTCAGCTGCACTGAGCTAATGAGGGGAGACTGGAGTGAAGCCCCCTGTGTCCTCCCACCCACACAGATGCCTGGCTGCAAGGGGCTGTCCTTGGCTTTCCCATGCAATGCTCTGCCCACCAGCTGCCTGGGCTCCTCTGGGACCCTCCTCTCTCTCTTGCTTGGGATACTTGACTATGCTCCAGTGGCTCCATGGAATCCTACTTTGTGGGGCTTCCAGCCTCCTCCTTGGTCTTGCCAATTGCTGCTTCACACACAACAAAAGTTGACTGGGCTGCTGGGGGAGGGGGTGCACTCATCACACGGTGCACCAAAGGCTTCACTCATCTGTCCTCCAGCGATTCCAGTCATTCATGGAAAGGCAGGAGGGCAGGCAGGTGCCTCCTACCTGGGAGCTGGTAATGCCAACATTTGAATGTGGTCAGCCTGAGCATGAGTTGGTGCTTGTGGCACACCAATCCCAAATGTTTAAGAACCTTGTTTAAGGATCTGTGAGGCAACTTGGTCTAGGATCAGTCTGTTTTCTTTTGAGGACAAATCATGACAAGTTGAGATCTGTAGTCACGGTGCTTTTTTTTTTGCCGTTTGCATCTTCTAGAACAGACAGCAAGACTTATACACACCCTTCTGAGATTAGCTCAGTAGAATGGAATAAATTTTAGGCCATCAGCCTCTAATTTCCTGGTTTGTCTTTTTTCGTGGTTAACTAATACTTTGAGTCAAGGATTATAAGGCTGACAGGTTTGAATGCTAGGAGGGATGGAAGAAACTGGGTTGAGCGTATAAGGCCACAACCCAAACATTATCCCTTCTGGACTTTTTGCACATCTCCTGAGTTCTGACAGAAAAGACACATGATTTGGAATGTACAGAATCGGGGTCAATTACTTAAGAACTCTTGGAGAGAAAAGGGTTTACATGGGCTATGTTTCTTTGATCAGAGTTCAGCCTGTGTGGCTTCGCCTTGGCTGTCAGGTGGCTCCGTGAGCCACCTGTGTATTAGCAGTGTGCCTCACCCACTGACGACAGCTTGGCCACGCCAAAGCTGGTGCCCAACCAACCTTCATTTTTGCCTCCTTTGCTTCACTTCTTGGTCCTGTCTTGGTCTGCTTCAGCTTTCTCCCAGCTCCTGCTGCCCTGGGAAGACAGAAGAGTGGGCAGAGGTGGATTTGTTAAGCACGGAAATTGGAAAAACCAAAACAGACATAGAAGAGAGGCTCTCACAGAAGAAGAGAGGAAGCAGCATGGAGCAGGCCCAGCAGTCAGAGAGGACAGGCAGTCTTCATGGGGTCTGTGCACTGACAGTGAACTTCCAGAAACTGAGCTATCTTTAGGTCCCCTTGGGAGCACCTGGAAATCCATTTAAGTCCTCTTAAATTGCATTGCCGGGAATTTCCTGGCTTTGCCTGGAGATGGCATGCCAATCCCTTGTGAGCCCCTGCTTTTCCAGGTGCGGTGGGGGAGGGCAGTGATGTCTGTAGGTTAGGTTAGCCCTGGCACACAGACGTGGCTGGGCCAGACCTCTGCCTGAAGGTGCAAGGTGTATTCCTGACACTTCTGCAGGCACAGGGCTCCTCTCAGTCTCAGGGGGGCCTCCATAGGACACCGTGATGGAAGCTGCCACATTCCAGGACTGGTCTGGCCCTTGTCCCAGGAAGACTAGCTCTCACCTCTGCACATTCTAATGGCAAGGGTGAGCTTACTTTTCTCGGGCTCTTCCTGCTCAGTGTTTGGAAGAGTCTGAAATTCACAAAAATGTCTTAAGACCCAGTTGTAGGCATCCAGCACATTACTAGGTGATTCTGCTAAGGATCAGAACCATTGTTTCAAATTCACTGCTTCATCCTCTTTTCTCTTGGGTCTCTAAATTTCTTCCTGATGGTGTTGCTTTTACATTCTTTTCTCCTTCCAGAATACTTACAGCTGCTCTTCTTTATCATTCTCAATTCCTCTCCTTATTTCCCTCTACTTTTTTAGCATAATTTTTTTCTTTTGGCCTATCTTATTTTATATTTAGATTCCTAAATGATTTGCCAGTTTTAAAAAATTTCTCCTCTTCTTCTTTTCTCCTTCCCTTTTTCCCTTCCCCTTTTTCTTTGGTGCTAGGGCTCAATTTCCCATTTTTATACTTTTGTGTTGCTTTTCTCTCCATCTCCAGCCTCAGTTCTTTTCCCTATAGCCTTCCTTGGGCCACGTGGCTTTTATTCTTGTTCATCTGTTTAAGCAGTGCTGGCAGGGAGGAGGCCACAGCCGGCAGACACAGCCGTGGTGACAGAAGAGGTCTTGGGTGCCTGAAGATGCTCCTCCCAGGCCTGGCGCCCTGGAAGAGGGGCTCCTTCAGGAGGGGCTGGGGTTGGGGCAGATGGCGTATCCTCCTCAGTGTGTGGGCCCTGCTCCCACTGCTGGGGAGGCAGAGGAATCTGTCCTCTGGATGGATGGGTAGGGGTGACCAGGTTCTACCCAGGAAGGAGGGCACTCTGGGGAGGCACATCACTGACATATGCCACTTGCAGAGTTCTTTGCTGGGGGGTGGGGTGGGGAGAGGCAGCACAAGCTCTGCTTCTTGGGGTTATCTGGTACCTTTGATCCTTGCTCTGAGTAGAAGTTGGTCTTCTGGGGATATAACAGATACTTCCCAGTAAAAGTCTCTTTTTTCCTCAAAGTCTCCACACTTGGCCAGTGGGCATTGGGATGCAGGGGGACTGCTCAAAGAGGCTGATATCTGAAAGGCAAGGCCACTGGGAAGCAACACAAACCCCACCTGTAGGAGGCCCTGAGGGTCACTGCTGGTACTGATGGAGACAGGTGGCATGTCTTGATGGGTGCGGTGGCAGAGAAATCCTAGAAGTTAAAACTGCACTCCTCGTCTGGAGAGGCGGGGGAGTGGCCCAGGCCGTTCCCCAGCTGTCCGAGGCAAATCGACTGGAGTCCATCTGGCTGTCCACACCAGCCCAGGCTTGCTTCCCATCCGGGGGCATCAATGCTATTGGGCTCTGGCTGGATCAGAGATGGGCTGTACTGGGGAGGGGAATCCAGGAACACCCACAGGGCATCACTGGGCTACCCTGTGATGATGGTGGCTATGTGCTTCTCTCGAAGTGCCACTGAGGACCACTATCACAGCATGCCTAGCTCTTTGCAGATCCCATGTTTATCATCATCATCATCACCCTCCATGTGCAACGTTGTCTACCACTTTAATTTGAAAGATACTTCAGCTTACATTTCACATTTTACTTATATTTTTTAAGCATCATTTCTGGTTTCCAAGTCTTGGGATGTGATAAATACTTAAGGATACTACAACCATAAGCCTCAAGAGTCCTCAGGCCCTGTAGGCTTGGCTTATGATTCAAGGCACAGCCTCCTTTCCCTGTATCGACCACATATATTTACATCACTATAAAATGCTGTCTAGTACGAAGTCAACAGAAGGAATGATTAGGGGACAGGTGACATATTTCCTGTCGATTGTTCCTCTCACTGCAGCCTCTTTGATGTGGGAATGCACGTAGGGATTAGGGATCCCAGCAGCCTCTCTCCCCACCTACATGAGCACCTCACTCTCAGCTGAGCCCAACGCGCAGGCTCCTTCAATCTGTCCGCGGCAGGGTCTGGCTCTGCGCTCCTGCCACTTCTCCCGCCCGCCTCTTCCCACGCACCACACTGTATAAATATTTACACCCCCGGGCTGGCAGGAATCTTTCTCCAGCTGCTTCCCTGGTCCCTGTGCAAGCTTGTTCTCTTACCCAGCAGCTGCAGCAGATCTGGTTGCCTTTAGTCAGACAAGGGCAGGCCCTGCTTTGGGGGCCCACAGTCCCTCCCCCCAGGGTGGATGGCGCAGTTGGCGGGAGAAACTCAGCACGAAAGAGGTCACAGGACCGTGGCAAAGGTCCAGCTGCTCTCTGTGCCGGCTGTCCAGAGCTAGTCTCCAAGGGCTGTTGACTCCTTCTCTGGTTGGACTGCAGAGTTCCTGTTTATTAAAGGAAAGGCTCTCCAGGATGGGTCTGCCATACCCCAGCCTTGCTGTACTAAGGCAGGACAATTTCAAAGCAAATAGGCTGATCATGGGACAAAAGAGTAACTTAGTCTCTTTTGGATCACTTCACAATTTACTAGTATTTGTGATCCTCTTGATCTGTCCTGAACACACCCCTTAGTTTAGCGCAAGAACTCCCTGTGTACAGTGCTTGCCGGGTGTGTGTGAGCCCAGGTTTCATCTCCCACCCCATAAACAACAACGACAACACAAGAAGCCCTTGCAGAATCTCCATGTCGCACTTCTCTCCTTTTCCTGTCCAGGCTACCCTGTCTCTCTTGCTAGGCCCAGTCTTCCCCCAGCGTGGAGAAGGAGAGCACAGGACAGGTGCTCCCTCCCCTCTTCCTTGGACCCAGGGAGTGAGTTTGCAAAAGAGCCAAACTGGCACTTGGGGTCCCATGTCCATATCCACATGTAATAGCTTAAGTCTTGAGCCCAGCAGATTTCTGAGGTTCCTCATGTGTGCCTGCTCTACCCACCTCCAAGGTCTGACGCCAAAGAAGCAAACTCCTAGACACAGCCCTGTCTTCCTCAGCTCCTGGCTCCTTCCAGTGCAGCTGGAAATGTCTCAGAGCCAGGCAAAGGCTGGACTTTGATCTCTTCTATCCCCAGTGAGCACAGGTCACATGCTATTTCCTTCCTGCCCCATGCCTCAGTTTCCCCCATTTGAGCTACACAAAGATTTCCAAATTCAAGAATTTGGTTTTAAAAATAGCAATATGATGGTTCCATTTGAAATTCTTTTTCTATTAATAGGTCAGGGATGTAACAGAGGAGACTGATCAGGTATCAGGCAGTAAGAAGAATGTGTGCTCAGTGCTTTGGGGAGGCTGAAGCAGAGGTAGACGGGATTAAAAAGGCTTTCGCTAGCCAATAACCCCCTAAAGTTCAGGACTCCTGGGGTGGATACTCACAACTGGCTAGGGGATTGGGATGGAGATTAGGGACAGAGCTCTGGTCTCCTTGTAGCTATAACTGTGCCAGGAAGAAAGCAAACAGACTTGATCTCTCCCCTTCTCTCTCACTTTCTTGGAATGGAAGAAAAGCTGATGCTGCAGGTGCCACAGTGTGACTGCAGAGCGATCTAGCACAGTGCTTGGTGTCAGCTCAGCAGCCGTGCCAAGGTGAGACAGGGGAGGGTGGCTGGCTGTGACTCCACCCCAGGAAATGCTTAGGGAGAAAGTCAGAAACTGAAGCTCAGAAGCTGCAAGAGATTCCTGCTGCCTGCCGGCCGGCCTGCTTCCCCAGCGCCTGAAAGTAAAACAAACTTAAATAAAAGCCGGGCCTGGCAGATATTAATACTCCAGAACCAGAGCTGGTGAGCACGCAATCATCTCTACCCTCCTCTTTCCCCTTCTGTTTCTGTAAGTGGCTGAAATAAATTTAGCAAAACAACCCCACCCGTCTGGGGGCCCAAGATTTCAGAGCAGTGGGATTCCTTACCCAGAAAACCCCTGTTTTTCACAGTGGAGAGCTTTTTGTTTAAATTCCCTTTTGGAATGGAATGCTCTCCATCTAAAATAATTATTTTACTGCAGTCAACTATTTCTCATAGATAAATGCTTTGACATGGTAAGGCTTGCTAGAAAGCTGATCTATAAATGCTCTGCAGCTTAAAATATCAACTCAATGCGGCCAATGCCTCACCGGATCTGCTGGGATATTTATTATACGATTATTTTTCATGATGGTCTGTACCTGTTCTGCCTAGTCTTCTGTGGTCTGACAGACAGGACAGCGATTGTACCCAGCAAAATTAACAGAGTGAACAAATATTAAATCTTTGTATTTTTCTCTGTACTTACTGAAGACATAGTATGTGCTTGGTACTATGCCAAGTACCTTAGGTTGAACTGGGAACAGAGTGGTCCCATTTTCATTCAGCATATGCCCTGGTTGGAAGAGAGATATTAAAAAAATTAAATGAATACAAAAAAACTGGCAATGAATCATATTTAATTTAAGAATGGAAGACAGAATGTTTTTCCCCTAGAACTGGAAAGAGAGGGCATATACTCTTACCACACTTATTCAACAGTAGTAATGAGTAAGATTAGAAAAAAAGAAATTAAATTATATTTATGTGCAGATAACATACTTGTTCATGTTAAAAACAACAATAATTTTCTAATAAATGTACTTGGTATAAACAACAACAACAACATTCCCAAGGAATCTGCCAAAAGGCCTCTTATACAATTTAAGTGGCTCTTATAAGATTAAAGGAGACAGAACACAATAATCAGCTGTATTTCTATAAACTCAGAAGTGAACAACTGGAAGCCAAGATTTAAAAAGAAAAAATCACAATAGGCTGGGCATGGTAGCACATGTCTGTAACCCCAGTACTCTGAGAGGCTGAGGCAGGAGGATTGCAAATTCCAGCCCAGCTTGAACAACTTAGCGAAATAACTGTTTTAAAACACTTTTTTCTAGGCCAGGGATGTAGTTCAGTACAAAGACTCTAGGTTAAAAAAAATAAATCTTAAAAACAGGGAATATGAAATGTAACTTTAACTCTGTATAGGCTCTAAATACTAAAAAGAGTAAAGCACTGAATAAGGAAATCAAAGAGGGGCTGGGGTTGTAGCTCAGTGGCAGAGTCTGTGCTTAGAATACACGAGGCCCTGGGGTCATTCTCTAGTACCCTTCTCCCCAAATCATCAAAGAAGGCCTAAATAAACAGACATATCATGTTCATAGATTAGAAGACTCAACACAGTAAAGATGTCATTTTTTTTTGAATTGAGTTAATGCATTTCCAATAAAAACCTCAGCAGGATTTTTCCCCCTGGTTGTGCTGGAGATCAAATCAAGGCCTTGTACATGGCAAGCTCTACCACTCAGCTACTTCTGCAACCGCCACATGAATTTTTTTTTGGTAGAACTAGAAAAGCTGATTCTGAAATTTATATAAAAAGGCAAAAGAACAAGAATAGTTAAAACAATTTCAAAAAAATAAGAATATGGCAACTTAAGTTTTGGAACGGTAGAACATTTAATAAAGAAGTGAAAGACTTCAATAAACAGCACTGGAATTGAACATCTATGACTAAAAAATTATGAATCTCAAAATACATTGACATCTTATATAAAAATTAACTCCAGGGGATCGGGCATTTATCCAGTGGTATAAGTGCCTACCTGGCAAGTACAAGATTATGAGTTTAATCCCTGGCACCAAAAATAAACAAAATAGTAACACAAAATGGACCACAGAAGTACATGTAAAACATAAAAACACTAGAAAAAGGCTCAGGAAGGTGACAATTTTAGGGGAGGCTTCTAGGGTCATGGAAGGGTCGGAAGCTCTAGGAATCCGTCTCCCCCTGCAAGGTAACAACTGCACACGTAGAATCTGCTTGACGGACAGTTTCAGAGCTCTGGAGTCTACTGAAGGCCCGGAACTTCCAGGGCGAGGCTGGGATATAAGCTGTAGTTAGTTTTGGTTAATTTGAGCTCTGAGTGCAGTAGCAGCTACCCATCCTCCACCCCCACCCCATTACAAACAGCTGTGCACATTCCTGGAGCAGCTTGCACGCAGCTTGTGGGAGCCAGAGTGGCAAAAGGGTCCTGCCTTCCAAATATCAGGATCTACGCTCTGACTGCTAATTCTGACCACAAAGGTGAAGACAGTGACGAACAGGCCACTGTTGTTGCACCTCTCTCCATTTTTCAAGCGTGTCCTTTTCAGCTGAAGTGACTTCCATGGAACTGAAAGGCCAGAGTGCTTTCTTACCCTCCCCCTTATTCCTTTCTTTTCTGCACTGTTGGGAGAAAGACATTAAAGAATATTAAAAAGCAATTACATATTTGCATTAGACAAGGCAAATTAGTGCCTGGCTGGGCACGGTGGCACACACCTGTAATGCCAGCACTTGGGAGGCTGAGGCAGGAGGATTACTGCAAATTCGAGGCCAGCCTGAACTTTATAGCAAAACCCTGTCTCAAAAAGCCCCCCCCCCCCAAAGTACCTGCATATGCCTAGGGAAAGGCTCAAGATGGAAAAAGAAAGCCTAAGAAGACTTTAGTTTATACCTCAGGCTGGTCCTCAGCCTACAGATAGCCTACAACCAAAACCAAAACCAAAACCAAAACCAAAAACCCAACAAAAAACAGTAACACACACCTCAAAGTTTGGTGAAGCAAAATCTGATTTTCATCTACCTTATTATTAAATTGAAATGTCTAGTTTTCAGTAACAACAACCCTAACAAATACAATAGACAGAAAAAAACATAAGATCTATTAGACAAAGCAACTGTCTTAGGGTTGTGTAGAGAACTCAGAAAAGGTGTGCATATAGTTAAAAAAAAAAAAGGAGTACAAAAAAACAAATATTAGAGAAACAAAAAGGAAATTATGGAACTGAAGAGTAAACTAAAATGCAAAGTCACTAGTGGTATTCAAAGATAGTGGGGCTGGGGATTTAGCTCAGTGGTGTAAGTGGTCGCCTGGCAAGCATGAGGTTAGGAGTTTGATCCCTGGTACCAAAAAAAACCAACAACAACGAAAAAAAAACAAAGATAGTTTTGATTAACTCAGAAGAGAGAACTGATAAACTTGGCTATCAGACAACAGAAATAACAAATCTGAAGAACAGAAAGAAAATAGATTGAAGAAAATTGAACAAAGCCTAATGGGCCTGTGGGACACATTCAAATTAACCAACACACACACACACACACACACACACACACACTCTAGGAGTCTCAGAAGGACAGGAGAAAGAAAATGCAGAGATTATTTAAAGGTACAGTGCCTGAAAAGGCCCAAATTTGATGAAAGACATGAATATAAACATGCAAGTAGCTCAATGAAATCCAGGTAAGATGAAGGCAGGAACCCATACCCACATTATAACTGAGCTCCTAGAAGTCAGAGAGAGGGGACCAAGGGTAGGAAAGAGGAATAAAAAGAATTAAGATATGTTAAGCACATGTGCTTACTCTTTACAACGCATGTAAATGATATACACTGCAAACAGCACACATGCAATAAGAAAATAAAATAAAAGTTTAAACTAAAAAAAAGCCAAAGACGATCTTGAAAACCACAAGAAAGAAGTGACTCACATACAAGGGATACTTAGAAAGTATGGACAGCTATTTTGAAGAGAATGAGAGACTCTACGACAGCCATTAGGGACTTCCCTGTTAACTGGTTTTGAAGACCTAAAACGCCTGCCTCATTCTGTTTGGATCAGTTTTATACTTTGTTGTTTTGTATGAATTCTCTATATGCGAAGACATGGACAACTATTTGGAAGAAAATAAGAGACAATATGATAGTGAAGATTTCAGGTCGCCTAGCTTTGAAATTTATATCTCTTACATTGCTTTCTTATGTTCCATTTTGTTCTCTTTTGTTGTGTTTAATTTTACTCCCTTTAAAATTAAAAAACCAACAAACAAGGGATACTTAATGAAATTTACTTTTCTTATTAAAAATTGTAAAAGATACAGGCAGTGGACTGATATATTTGAAGTATTTAAAAAACCAAAGCAAAGCAAAACAAATTAACATAACAAACCAAAAGCCCTATGAAACAAGAATCATCAGATTTGTTCTGCCAAAATTACTCAGGATGGGCATAGTAACCTGAGTCTATTATACCAGCTACTCAGAAAGCTGAGGCAGATGGATCACTTGATCCCAGGAGTTAGAGGCCAGTCTGGGTAACACAGTGAAACGCTTTTTCTAAAAACAAAAAACTCATATCCCAGTTGGGTGTGGTGGTACACACCTATAATCTCAGCACTTAGGAAGGTGAGGTCAGCCTGTGCTACAGGAGACCCTTCCCAAAAATCAAAAACCTCAAGTTTACCTTTCTAAGTGTAATAAACACCAGCCAGTAACTTGTAATCATATGAAGAAATGAAGCTCTCAAGAAATGTAAATGGGTAGCAAATTAAAAATAGGTAGCAGTATAACAATGTGTAACTCAACTTTTTGTTTTCTGTATGATTTTTAAAAATTTTAGGGGTCTGGGGATATAGCTCAGTGGCACAAGCACCTGCCTGGCAAGTACAAGGTCCTGAGTTTGAAAAAAAAAAAATCTAGGGCATGCTAGGATTGAATCTAGGCCTTCATACAATGATACACTACCAATGAACTGCACCTCTTATTTGTTTTCTCCATGTTTTAAGAGACTAATTAAAAATTAGTCTAAAAGCTAGTATTACTTAAACTTTGCTTTGTAATTCCACATTTTGTTTTCTGTGTAAGACTGACGCATTTAAAAAATTTTAGTTTATGTTTCAGGACACATTATATATAAAGATGCAATTATGTGTATCAACAATGAAAAAGGTGAGCTCAAGCTACAAATTAGGGGAACTTCTGCATGTTACTGAAGTTAGGGTGGTATATATTGAAATAGGGGCATTATAACTTTAGAGCCAGATATGGTGGTGCACACCTGTAATCACAGCACTTGAGAGACCGAGGCAAGAGGATCCCTATGAGTTCAAGGACAGCCTGGGCTACACAGTGAGACCATGTCTCAGTTCCCCACCACCACCAAAAAAAGGGTATTATAACTTTAGGATGTTAATTGTAATCTCCACAATAACTACAAGCAAATAGCTACAGAAATGAGAAAGGAATTTAAATGTTTCACCACAGAAAATCAACTAAACTTAAAAAGAAGATACAGTAGTCCCCTGTTATCTGTGGTCATGCTTTCTGCAATTTCAGTTTTGTGTGGTCAACTATGATCCAAAAACGTTAAAAGGAAAAAATTCACTGTTAATCATTTGTTTTAAATTATGTACTGTTTTGGGTAACGTGATGAAATCTCACACTGTCTGGGTCTATCCTGTCCAGGACATGAATCAGTCTTTTATCCTGTGTATCTACCTTGTATATGCTACCTGCCTGTTAGTCACTTAACTAAGCATCTTGGTTATAGTTGACTGTGATTGACTGGTTGTGATCAACTATGGCAGTTACCGCAGTGCTAAGGTAAAGTAACCTTTCATTGTAGCCTAGTATTATATCACAGTGCCTACATCATTCACCTCATTTCATCATAGGAGCACCATGTCATCTTATAGCATCACAAAAAGGTAACTGTAGTACAATGAGATATTACGATTGTATGACCATATATTGTTATAATTGTTCTATTTTATTACTGGTGTTATAATCACAGTCAGATATGTATAGGAAAAAACATACATGGTGTTTGGTATTATCTGTGGTTTCAGGCATCCACTGGGGGTTTTGAAAGATACTTATTCCTGGCAGATTGGTGTGTGGGGACGGGGAAGACTGCTCTAGTAATGTGGCAAATGAGGATCAATATAGGCATCTAGAAAACAAATACCAAAATGACAGAGTGAAATCTCCCTCAGTCATTAATTACTCTAAATGTAAATAGACTAAATTCTCCAATCAAAAGACAGATTGGAGCCAGATCAGATGGTTCCTGCCTCTAATCCCAGCACTCCAGAAGGCTGAGATAAGACGAATGAAAGGTCAACACCCGGCTGGGGAAATCTGGTAACATAGCAAAGCCTTGTCTCAAAATAAAAAATAAAGAAATGCTGCAGATGTAGCTCAGTATGAAGGCCCAGCACAGGAAACAATGATAAAACAGAGCATCAAAATGGAGTGGAAAAAGGGTCAGGAATAGAGCTCTGTGGCACAGTGCCTGCCTGGCAAGCGTGAGGTCCTGAGTTCAATTCCTGACACCTCCCCCAAAAATGAATGGATTAAAAAGTATGATCCTAGGCCAGGGGTTTAGCTCAACAGCACAAGCGCCTGCCTGGCAAGCACAAGGTTCTGAGTTCGATCCCTGGTATCAAAAAATGCTTGACTATATGAGCCTATAAGAGATTCACTTTAGATTCAAAGACAAATAGTCTGAAAATTAAAACTAGAAAAAGCTATTGCAGAGCCCAGGAATGTAGGTTAGTGGTAGAACATGTTTGGTATGCAGGAGGTTCTGGATTCAAACACACACACACACACACACACACACACACACAGATATTCTATGCAAACAGGAATCAAAAGAGCACAGATAAAGTAAGACTTTCATCAGAAAAGGTTAAAGGAGACAAAAGGGAATTGCATACTAATAAAATGTTCAATATAGCAAACAAAAAGAAAAACTATAAACATTTAAATACCTAACAACAAACCATCAAAACACACAGAAGTTTTAGTAAGAAAACCTTAATGACTGGGTTAGGCAAAGTATCCTGAGTTCTAACATCAGAAGCATGACCCACTAAAGATAACACTGACACAACATATACTTCACTAAAATGGGAGACTTTTGCACTGTGAAAGGCACTTTATTCAAAAAATGAGAAGATAAAGCACAAACTCCATTTGCAAATCATATCTCTGACAAAGGCACTGTGTTCAGAGGACATGAAGAACTCTTACAACTCAACAGTAAGAAAATAGATGACCCAAGCACAAAAACAATCAAAAGACTTGAAGACACTTCACCAGGAGGATGTACAGATGGCAAACACGAAATGATGTTCAACATCATTAGCTATTAGAGAAATGCAAATTAAAATAAGATATTACATACCTATTAAAATGGTAAAATCGGGGCTGGGGATTTAGCTCAGTGGCATAAGCGCCTGCCTTGCAAGCAGGCAGTCGTGAGTTCGATCCCTGGTACCGATAAAAACGAAAAAGACCAAAAAGAATAATAATAAAAATAAAATAAAATGGTAAAATTAAAAAATTCTAACAATTTTAAGTACCTAAGATGTAGAACAACTGGAAACTTTCTGTTGAAGATGCAAAACGGTAAAACCACTCTGGAAAATAGTCTGGCAGTGTAAAAATTAATTTTTAACATACACTTACCATATGACCTAGAAATCTCACTCTTGTTTATCTGTCCCAGAGAGAAAGAACTTTTGTTTTCACAAAAACCTGTACAAGAAAGTTAATGGCAACTTTATTCAAAATGGCCAAAAGCCGGGAAAAAAATCCAAATGTCTTTCAATAGGTGAATGGATAAACAAACTTAATGCATGCTCATATAGTAAATACAATTAATAAAAGGAATGAACTAAAGATACCTGTGACAACATGGATAACGCTCAAAGACATGTTATGTGAAATCATAAAGTGTATGTTTTCATTTATGACATTCTGGAAGAGACTAAATTAGTGACAGAAAACAGAGCAGTAGTTGTCAGGGGTCAGGGTGGGGGAGAATGTGACTATAAAGGGAGAGCAGAACAGAGATTTTGGGGGTAGATGATGAAACTCTTTGTTTCCAGATTATGGTGGCTATTGTATGCATTCATTCATATGCTAACATTCATAGATCTGAATGACAAGGAAATGAACATTCCATGACATATGCTCCTGGACAAATACCTTGCCTTGATGGGATAGGTGGGTGTCAAGAATGTTTAAGGAAGTGATGTTTGGAGCTGGGTTCTAAAGAAAGATTGAGAATTTTCTTGGGCCAAAGATAAGATTTTGGACAGAATTTGCATGTACAAAGCCCCTCAGGCAAGAGGAAGATGGCTCATTTCCCTCTAAAATTGGAACAGAGTGCCCTGAGGAGTGGGGTTAGTCAAAGTAGGAGAGGCAGCCTATGCTGGCTGAGTTTGCTCTAGGCAGGCCTAGGCAAGTGGGTACTGGAGGTGCAGTTGTGGGCTAGCCTGGAGTCTTAACTGTGGGACACATCTGCAGGGAATGTCTAGAAATAATTGACCTGAGTGAATATTCCACCTCAGGCACAGAGCAAGGCAGAGGCACCCTGTGCCTGAGGTTGAGCTCTCTCAGTCCTCCCAGCAGTCTGCTCCTGGAGCTTCCCCCCAGGATCCTGACACCACTCAAGGGTGCACTGACAGTGAACCCTAAACTGCTCTCTCTCAAGGCTGCTGCCTGATTTAGAAGGATGCTGATGGCTGAGTGCTCCCTTTAAATACCCTGAAGGGCTCAGGACTTCTATAGAGAGGAGGCTGTGGCTTCTACTGTCTCTCTAAAGACCTCAGTGACAATAAGCAGGTATTTTCCAGTTAGGTAACAGGTACTCAGGCTGCAACCTGACCCATCTTACTCCTCCTCAGGCTCATGAGTAAAATCAAACAAAAAAAACCAGACACTGCTAGAAAATGCCATGGCCAAGATTTGGATGGAGGATCTCTCAACTTCAGTGTTCTGGAACAATCACTGAACCTCCATATTTTGAGTTACTAACAGGCAATTCACCAAAGAAATGCAGATTCCCGGCCCCACCCAGGAGCGCCGGATTCACAGGGCCTAGGTCTAGACGGAGGAGTCCGAAATGCACAAATGGTACAGGTAACTCAACTAGGTGACCAGAAGTTCCCCCTCTCTACCCGCTGGAAACTTGCTGTTCCAAGGTCTCAGGTAGCAAAAGTTGGGGGAAGCGCAGGTCCCAAGCAGAAGAATTTGGGGGACTTTGCAAATGACCCGGAACTTGGAGGAAGCGCAACACCGCGGGGCTCCAGGGGAGGCGGTGCCTTCAGGCGGCGCGGTGACAAAGCCGGGCGGGGGTCGCGGCCTCGCGCTCCACACTCTCACCTGCCGGGAGGTGCGTCGGCTCCGGGTCGGCTGAGGAATCGAGCTGCTGCGCCTCCTTCCACCCGAGGGCTTTCACTTTTCCCTCTTTGTGAAAACCTAACAGCGCCATCCCACCCCCAGCCAAAATACCTGGCCCGGCTCCTCCCCGCGGGCCTGACTCCGGGCGAATGGCAGCGGCCGGAAGTCGGGCGGCCGGGCCTGCGGGCCGACGCGCGCGCGCAGGTGGAGGGGCGGCCGCGCGGGCGCAGGGCGTGCCAGGAGCCCCCTTGCGGCGGGCCTCCGCCGCCGCCGTTCCCGCCTGCACACCTGAGCGGCAGCGCGGCCAGACGCCGGGTACGCCAAGGGTTAAAGGCGCTTGCTCCCTCCCCTCGGCTCCCTCACCCTTGGAAAGTCCCTGAAATGACGTCTCAACCCGACAATTAAAAAAAAAGTTTAATTATAGAGCCAGGCTCCGGGAGCTGAAACAAACCCGGGCGGTCGGCGGGGCCGGTAAACAACTTGGAGGGAGCCTGCTGGGTCTTGGGGAGCCGAAGAAGGGGGGGGGGGGAGTTGGACTGACGGAGGAAATTCGAGGAATCGCCTTTCTTTCTGGAAAAACCACTCCTTAGCCAGCCTGGGGCGCTGAGACCCGGGCTGGTGCTCTCGGCCCTCAAGGACTGCCGGTGGTCCTTGGGGACCGACCAGGGTCCCCATCTTCGTCCCTCTGCTGAGCTCGGCGAGCTCTCTGGAGTTAAAGACCAGCCAGCCCTTTTTAGGGGTGGGTGGGAAGGGGAGACCGAAATAGCTTCACATCAGAGCTCAGACTAACCTTGTGGTTTTAACGCGCACCCTACTCTGTCCTGAAATCTGGAACTCATTACCCTCATCACCAAGAAACTGCACGAAACCCGCCCCCCCCCCCGCCGCCCCAAACACCCACTTCTTGAAGCTGGGGAAGAAAACGAGCAAACATCGCTGTAAGAAAGAAACCTACATACTTGAATGATTTAAATTAAGGTGGATGGAAGTTATTTTCCTTTCTGGCGCTTGCCAGATTTCGAGAAAAGATGAAAAATGGGGCAGGGGGTGGGGAGAAGCAACAGGCGGCTGGAGGCAGCGGCAGAAGAAGCCAGGGGGCAGCGGCCGGGTTAAAATGGGGGGCCATCAATTCACGTTAGAGGAGACAAATAAAAGCAAACCCCGCTGGGGGAGATCACGTAGGTTCGTGGCTACAAAAGTGTGTTTCGCCAAGTTAAAAAAAAATGTGGTTCCTTAAACAGTTGTGCTTTGGAAGGTTTCTCTGGGCTTGCCTGGAGGTTGACGAATAAATAAGAAATGCAGTAAACAGTTGTGGGGGGGGACCTTGAGCACTCTGCTCCGCCTGCCTCGTCCTTTCCAAAGAAACGTGCTCATAATGGGGTGACCTAATTACATCGCAATGGAACTTGCTCGCAGCTCGGCGCACGGGTTTCATAACACCCGGCGGCCTGGAGTGCTAGGAGGCAGCGCGCGAGCCCAGCCCGCGACTCCCGCCCGGGTCTACACCGCAGCGCCTGTTTAGAGGCGCGGGGAGCGGCCCGGGGACTCGTTCGCAACTTGGTGTTTGAGCGGATGGGGAGGAGGGAGCTCAGCCTAACAGGAAATAAGCCCGCACTATCGTTTGAGTTGTTGTAATTCACTGCGGGTCAGTTTTGGGGATCCTATGCCACCATAGGACCCCCCCCCCAAAAAAAAACAGCGCATGGTGACAAACCATATTTTCCGTTCTTGCGGGGGCGGCCGACCAGCAACAATAAAAGTGTCGCTTCCCCCACTTATTTACCTTCATTCTCAACGAAATAACTTTTGTTCATGACTCTGTGCGTGTGTATGGGGGGGCGGCCCATAATTCAAAGCGCGCGTGGAAAGTGGCTCGTTGCTCAGTGGGTGGTTTCTTTTTTTTGCATGGCAAATGAAGGGACTTCATGAAAGATTCAGGATTTTCTATACTAAAGTTTATTAAGATTGGATATGTCAAAGAAGCGCCACGCCTAGCCCAGTTTAAAAACTAACAATCTGCCAGGGCTGGGGTCTTCCCCCCTCCAACGTACCCCCCAGGTCCACACTCGAGCGCAGGCGGTAGGGCAAACAGGAGTGTAGACGCGTGCTGAGCTGAATCTCGCCGCGCTCGCCCCCGCCAGGCTGGGTCCTTGGGGGGGGGGTGTAAAAAAACGTTTCTACTCCCTCCCTTCCCTTAGCCGGCAGAAAAAAAACAAAATTCTGTAGACTTGAACATTTGGGGCGCTCCGAATTTCCACGTCCTGGCCCAACCAGGTTTGCAGAGGGGAACCAGGTGTGGCCGAAGAAGTCAGGAAAAGGTGAGTTGTGCGGACACTTGGAGAAGTTTGAAGGCAAGAACAGCGCAAGATGGAAACCGCAGCCCGGGCGCAACAGGACAGGCTCCAGCTCCAGCTTGCAAAAAGAGAAAGTCGAGCCCGCCTTCCTGCCCGACAAAAAACAACAACACAACAACAAGCACCCCAAAGGGAGTGGAATGAGTGATGTCACGGGGCCGCGCGGCAAGGCTCACAAAGGGGGGCCCCTCCCCCTCTGCCCCGTGCGGCTCGGGGAGGGGCGCCAGCAACGCCGGGGACTCGAAACTTTTCCTCTTTAAGAAAAAAAAAAAAAAAAAAAAAAGTGCGCTGCCCGGAGTGGTTTTTTTTCCGCCTTCTTTCCTCGTCTCCCCTCCCCCCCTCTTCCTTTTGAAAGTTTCTTTCCTCCCCCTCCTGACCGCATGGCTGATTCAACCTGTGTCAATCAACTTTTTTTCTTCGCCCCTTATTTAAATAAAGTTTAAAGCTCCTCCTTTCTCCAGCCCACCAAAAAAAAAAAAAAAAAAAAAAAAAGAAACAACTGAAACTATAAATTGGGCTTTGCGCGCCGCAGCCCGGGAGAGTCAGAAAGGCGTGGGGCGCCAGGAGCAGGCGTGTGGGACTCCAGACCGGAGAGCCGGAGGCTGCGCCTTCCCCGCACCGGGACCTTCGCGACGCACCACATCCTCGCCCCTGCCCCGTGCGAGCGCCCACGATGACTACCACCCTCGTGTCTGCTACCATCTTCGACTTAAGCGAAGTTTTATGCAAGGTAAAGTGGGGCGGAGCGTTTGCTTTTTAAAAAGTCCTTTTTTTGCTTTAAAAAAAAAAAAAAAAAAAAAGAACCATCTGAAAGTTTGGGTCTTGGGAAGCAGAAGGTAAAAGGAGAATGAAGGGAGATGCTTTTCTCCCGCATTTTCCACACAGTTTGAAGGAATTTGGGCCTGTCCTCCGCAACCCTGGAGTTTCAACAGTTCTTGGCGAGTTTACATGTGAATTTGAGGATCAGAGTTTTGGAGAGGAGAGGTCTGCCAGGCGGGGATGCCGGGTAGACTGGTGAGGAGTGTGGGGAAAGTTTGGGACAAGTTTTATGTACTTAATATGCTTGTTGAGCCCGGGGTTTGCTGGTCTCCTCGGTTCTTCCGTGTGCACCTTGGGTGTGTGCGCCTGGGTTCGATTTTGCCCAGCACCATTACCAGCCTTTGGGCTTGGGGCTTGTAGAGTTTCTCGAGGAAGCCAGTCTCGAGACCATGTCGTGCTGGCCGATTTTCCCTGCTGCTTTTGGGGAGCCAGGGATTTGCGAGGAAGGAAAAGGTCGAGGGTTGTGATTCAAAAAGATGTCGCACAGTGAGTTTGCAGCGGGTCTTGCGATCTCTGCTGACTTCCTCCGCTGTAGCCGGCTGCGCCGCGAACTTTAGGTGGAAATGGGCTGACCCGTTTACCTGTGTTATGGGGCTCGGTGGCACATCGATTAGGGCGGGGGGCAGGGGACAAAATGTTTGAGTTGAAGAATCGCCTCTTGTAAGGATTACATAGAGGCCTCCTTCAGCCGGATAACTCGCCAGCCGGTATTGAAAAAAAAAAGTGTTAAATTCGTAGTGTTCTGAGAGTGTGTTTTAAAACCCGGAATGGTCTAGGGGTGTGTCATAACAAAAACCTATGGATGTTGTTAAATGTTTTCCCAGTCTTCTTCCCCCAGTTTGAAAGGGCAAAGCTGCTAGGCTACTTATAATTGCCGAAGTGTTTAGCCTTCTCTTAAACACGTCGGGTCATGTTGCTCTCTTTTCCCAGCTTGCTGCCCCTGTCGGCACAGCTTGCCAAGGCCCCAGGGCTGCAGGGTTGGGGTGCAGAGACGCGGAGGAGTTGAGGAGCAACATCAAAAAATTGGAATTTTTAGCGTCCTTCCCTCCTTTGCGCCTTCCCAAGCTCCACTAGCCCGCGCTGCGCACAGCTCCCGGCTAGTCTCCCTTCGCTTTCCTGCTCTCCCGCTCTTTGATCTATTTCTTTCTTTCCCCTCCCTCCCCCGCAGGACTTTTTAAAATGAACCTCATTGTTGGGAACCGGCTCTCCACTGGGTTTCTGTAATCCGCTCGGTGGGGTGGTTGTGGTTACAGATTCCCGATCCCCTGCTGTTGATCCTAAGGGACCAACTTTAGAATTTGCACAATGACACCCACTTGGGCCAAGAGCCAACTCCCAGGTCCCTTACTGGCGCCCTTTCCATATCTGAGGCACTATTTGGGCAGGTGACCAGGGTCCCTTTGGAACAGAACCCTGCCTGTGACAAATCAGCACACACCCCCACCCCCTCCCCCAGTCTGCTGTTGACTGCTGCGTGTGTGTTGGGGGGTTGGTCGGTGCTTTCCTCTCCTTCCCATCTGCAGCTTTGCGTTCAAGATTAAACACTGGTGCTCTTATCCAACTCTCTCTTGCAGCCAGGAGAGTGAAGGGTTAGAGTTATGGTGGGAAATGCGAGGCTGCCCAGGGTACCCCTTGCAGGAGCCTGGATCTTAGAGTTTTTAGGGATCACAACTCACTTTCCCCAATCGCAGACCAGACCTCCCTGCTGCTGCAACAAAAAAACACAGGGCTTGAAAACCTGTTGCGGAAGGAAGGGAACACTTCTGAAGGAGGAAGTTAGTCTTGGGCCAGGTTGTGGGGGAGGGGCTACCACTGAGCGGAGACTAAGAGGGGACTTGGCTGATGTTTGTCTTTTCTCTGGGTCTTACCCATTTTTGTTCAGAGACAAGAAATCTAGAGAGATCTGCCTTGTGTGAGGTATTCTGGATTGAATCTGTTTAGGAGGTAAAGAAATTATATTTTGTAGATTAAAAAAATTATACCTTTGGAGATAAGAGGGTATGAAGGTGCATTTCAGGGGTCATAACAGCCAGATGAATATATAATTTGTCACCCTGGCCCGGATTTGGGAGTTCGTTATGCATGGGGCCAAAATAAACCCAGGTGGCTGGTGTGTGCGGGAAAAGCGACAGAAGGGGGCTCACTGGGGTAGAGCTGGAGGTAGTTCCTTAGGGAAAGAGACAGCACATTGCTGTTTATGGAGGGACTGGCATTCCTGGGCACCCCTCCCTGACCTGGCGGATGTCACCTATAACCTTGCTTTCCCTCCTCTCTTCCTTCTAGGGTAACAAGATGCTCAATTACAGTACTCCCAATGCAGGGGGCTGCCTGCTGGACAGGAAGGCCGTGGGTACTCCTGCCGGAGGGGGCTTCCCTCGTAGGCACTCGGTCACCCTGCCCAGTTCCAAGTTCCATCAGAACCAGCTCCTCAGCAGCCTCAAGGGTGAGCCTGCCCCAACTCTGAGCTCTCGGGACAGCCGATTCCGAGACCGCTCTTTCTCTGAAGGGGGCGAGCGGCTGCTGCCCACCCAGAAACAGCCTGGGAGTGGCCAGGTCAACTCCAGCCGCTACAAAACGGAGTTGTGCCGCCCCTTTGAGGAAAACGGCGCCTGTAAGTACGGGGACAAGTGCCAGTTCGCACACGGCATCCACGAGCTCCGCAGCCTGACCCGCCACCCCAAGTACAAGACGGAGCTGTGCCGCACCTTCCACACCATTGGCTTTTGCCCCTACGGGCCCCGCTGCCACTTCATCCACAACGCCGAGGAGCGCCGAGCCCTGGCCGGGGCCCGGGACCTCTCCGCTGACCGTCCCCGCCTCCAGCATAGTTTTAGCTTTGCTGGGTTTCCCAGTGCCGCTGCCACCGCCGCTGCCACCGGGCTGCTGGACAGCCCCACGTCCATCACCCCACCCCCTATTCTGAGCGCCGATGACCTCCTGGGCTCACCTACCCTGCCTGATGGCACCAATAACCCCTTTGCCTTCTCCAGCCAGGAGCTGGCGACCCTCTTTGCTCCTAGTATGGGGCTGCCTGGGGGTGGCTCTCCAACCACCTTCCTTTTCCGGCCCATGTCCGAGTCCCCTCACATGTTTGACTCTCCCCCCAGCCCTCAGGATTCTCTCTCGGACCAAGAGGGCTACCTGAGCAGCTCCAGCAGTAGCCACAGTGGCTCAGACTCCCCCACTTTGGACAACTCAAGACGCCTGCCCATTTTCAGCAGACTTTCCATCTCAGATGATTAAGCCAGGGTAGGGACGGACCCCCTGCTTCTTTCACCCCTCTCATCCTACACCTACACCCTCACCAACCTACCGCCCCATTCCCCTTGACACACCCTACATTAACAAGGTTAAGCTCAGATGCCTTCCACCAGAACCTTGAAATGTCCCTTCCCTATTTCCCCACTCCCCCAACACAAGGACAAGTCAATTTGTCAGTAGCTTCTTCTGGCTTGAAACCCCCTCCCTCGATTTTTTTTTTTAGCCCACTTACCACGCATAACAGACAAGTCTCATATTTGTCCGTAGATGCCTTTTTTCTGGCTTAAGCCTTCAGTGCCAAATCACAAAAGAAAAAGCAGTAACAGTTTACAGAAGCAACTTAGTGCCTTGTAATCTAACTTTGTCACTGTGACTACATTACCTCTTCAGCGCCAGGGGGCACCCGTGGGCCTCCTGGGGCCTCTGCCCATGGGGTGGGGGGACACCCAAAACCAGCAGCTCCCTCCACTGGCGACATGACTGCACCTTCCCTTATTTCTCCCACACACTTCTTCCTCTCTTCCCAGTAGAGAGTTGTGACCCCCTTGGGAGAGTCGTTGCTGGACTTGGGTTTTTGGGGAAAACTGTCTTGACATTCAAAACCTTTTTCTTCCCAACCTGAACCCCCATTGACTAATCTTGCCTGGGTTTGTAGGTCTGCAGGAAGGAAGGCTGGAAAAGTGGATGAAGATTTTGACATAAGTGGGACTTTGTGATTTAATTTTTTCCTTTTTTTTTTAAAGTGGGGAGGAAGGGGAGGCTAGATGGACTATGAGAGACTTGATTTTGGTGCTAAAGTTCCCCAATTCATATGTGACATCTTAAAAAGAAAATAACAAAAAAAAGAGAGAAAAGCTAAAAAAACATGTAAGGGGTGAGCAGTTAATGGTATTCATTCCACATACAATATCTGTGTAAAACGATTTCCTGTAGAAGTAGCTTTAATGGTTTTGCTCTAGAATACCGTAGGTCTACCTTTAGAGCACTCACGCCATGCTTTTTTCCCTGGGTTTTAAACTTCATATAACTTTCAGAAATTGGAGAGCAAAAATTTTGCTTGTCACTGCACATCAATATAAAAAAGCTTATTTAACTTATCAAAACGTATTTATTGCCAAACTATGCTTTTTTTGTTAATTTTGTTCATATTTATCGGGATGACAAATCCATAGAATATATTCTTTTATGTTAAATTATGATCTTCATATTAATCTTAAAATTTTGTGACGTGTCTTTTCCTTTTTTTTCCACAGTTTTAATATATTATTCTTCAACAACATTTTTTTGTAACTTTACACTTTTTTGGTTATTTTATTTTAAAAAAATGAAAAATTAATTTAAAAAAATGCAAAAAACTGTTGGATTATTTATTTTAGAAATTCCCCCTTTTGTGTTGGACTGCAAATTGAGTTTCTTTCTCTTTAGGCTTTTCACAGCTAGGACTGAGAATGTATGTAAAAGTTCTGTGACAGTACAGAAGGAAAACAACTTTTTATGTATAGTTTCTAAAAGGGAAAAAAAAAGAGAAAACCCTTTGACTTCCATGTGCCCATCTCAAGACATTCCGCTCGCAGATTTGAGGTTCTGGATTCCAGGTTTGGAATTTTCCAATGTTAGTGTAAACAGAACTGGCACACAGACACATTAAGATGAATGTAATTATTATTCCTCTTGCTGGTCACTACCGTCGCTTTCTATTTCTCTTTCTTTGTGTGAATTTATTTAAAAGAAAAAAAACTTTTTGTAACGACTATTTGCAGTTTAAAAATCAATAAACCCCGTTTTTCAAGAAACACTGGTGATGGCTCTGGTTTTACGTGGCTCATGAACTGACTGTAGATTTTCCCTGGAGAAGCCCTGCACTGGTGGGACAGGCTGGTTGGTCTCCTAACTAAATACGTGGCTCCCTTCCCTAACTCTGGGAAGTCTGTTGCTTACTGAGGATGGGTGAGGCTTTGTGCTGAAGAGCCTGTCCTTGCTGCTGGGTTGCTTCAGAGAAGGCTCTGCAGTGCAATAACTTGACTGACTGAATGGCGAAGGCTGGCCTTGCCCACCTTTTAGCCTGTTTGAGGCCAACCCATCCCAGCCTGTGGTCTTCATCCCTTTGGACAGTGTTGAGGGTGGAACATGGCATGCCTGCAGACTTGTGAATTCTGTTACTGAAAGCTCAGGCTCATGTTTCCACCAGATCCTCACCTCCACGCTTGCCTCGGGGTGTCTGAGACTTGCCTGCCTGGAGAGGAGAAAGAGGATGGCATGGGCTTCAGTCATATCTGGGTTTGACTCACTTCTGTGTTTCAAGGGCCATTGATAAGAGATGGGTATTACACTGACTAACATAGGAGTCAACGATGGTTCCCATCACCTGGGGCCTAGTTACACCTCATACCATGCAAAAGAGACTGGGGTACATTTGGTTGAGAGCACCCCAGCTAGGGCCAGCTGACCACTAAGAAGTGAAATTTAACCTGAAAGAGAGGAGTTGGATCTTTTTTTTTTTTTTTTTGTCTTTCTTGATACCAAGGGTCAAACTCACAACTGCCTGCTTTCAAGGCAGGCACTTATGCGGCTGAGCTAAACCCCCAGCCCCTAAGTTGGATCTTTCTAAAATGAGGCTCTTCCTTGTGGGTAGAGGAGGGTGGGAGTTAAGCTGAATTTTTGCCTCGACCACCAGACCTTTCACAAACGTGGTCAGGTCTTTAGTAGATACCTTCCAGGCCAGGACTGTGGTACTTATACCTTCTTGTCTCTATCTGGCCTGCAGGTATCACAGGAGGTAGGGTGTAAGGTAAAAAGGGTCTATTTTCCAGGGTAGAGGCAAGTGGTGCAGGAAGGGGAAAAGCAGACCTTCCAAAAGCAGTGTCTGTCTACACGTCCCGGTTGGGCTGTGGTGGAATGTGATTCTCCTTTCTGATTATAACAACTGTTCACCTTAAGCTCATTCCCTGCAGATATACAGGAGTATATGGTGCACATCTCTTTCTAGTTAACCCTCTTGTGACCATTGAGTTCAGAGGGATCTAAGCCTGCCTTCCAGCCAGCCCTAAATCTCCTCCTTGGAGTTAGATACCAAAGATAGGCATTGACTCCAGCCTTAGAGGATAAGGTTGGTTGTGAAGGGAAGAAGAGGCTTTGTGTCATTTGGGGAAGTTAGCTGTCCCTGGGCCTTCAGCTCTTATCCCACATGTGTCCCTATGGAGAGTACCTGAGCTCAGATTTAGGCCAAACAGGCCTAGAGTCTAGACCTTACAGCCTAAGCTACTTAGGAAAGCAAATACAATCCTTTTGGGTACATTATTTTCCTAGGATAATTGAAGATGAAGGACTTTCAGCAGCCCTGCTATAGGCTGGCAGGGAGCTGAGGGTAGTGTGAGCCCAGAGATGTTAGGGGACCTCCATCTCTAAGCCCCTCCACAGTCCGCCAGGGTAGGAACCAGGCTGGAAGTGAGGCCTTCCCAGAGGGAAGTGGGGTAGGAAGAGCCAAGTCCTGCTTTGTCAGCCAAATTTCCTGGACACAGGGCATCCTCTATATCCTGGCTAGGACTCCAGGGTTGATCTGATTTGGGGACCTGCACAAGGTCCTCCCTGTGTAGGCCAAGTCTCCATGGCCTCTGGCCTTGCAACCTGTGTTTGGCTGAATGTCTTGAAGCTGTCAGAAAAATGAGCTACTGGTTGATGGCTTCCCTTTCCTGGCCTGGCTATTTCATTGTCAGGAGAAAAGTGGTGACTACCTGAGTGGCAGTGGCACTCAGGAGGGAAGGATGGCCTTTGAAGGCCAGCAGAGAATCTGGGGCAGACTTACCTTGGCTTTCGTAGTTAGTCATATCTCAAAACTTTGGTTATGAAAGTGAGGGAGGATCCTAGCAGGAAGAAGACTCCATGACATGAAGGAAGAAGACCAATGTGCATGTGCCTTGTCCAGTGACCCAATCTTGGACCTTTCAGTTGTATCCTGAAAGGTTACCATGAGGGTCAAGTGCACCGTTAGTAATGACAGCTCTTTGTGCGCTGTAGTCCTCTGAGAACTGTGCATTTTAACTCAGATGCTCATGATGACCTCATGGTGAAACTTCCATACTAACCCCATTCTACCTATGGAGAAACTGGTGGGAGGTTGGAGCAGCTCATTACCTGTCACAGTAAAAAAGTGTCAGGACTTGAACCCAAGCAGACTGGCTCCATCACTGTGTTTCACCTCTGTGCTATCTTGTATCACAGACAGACACATGGAAAATGCTGGGCATAGTCCCTGGCATACTGTAAAGAGGGTTAGTTTCCTTCTCCATTGGCCTTTGGCGGCAATTCTACAAGAGTGTGGACAGTCAGGTTGGATGATATCTGCATGCACCCCTCCCCCAAGTATCATGATCTCATGTCCTAGAAGGCCTGGATTGGCCTGTTTGGAGGAGGGGGCTGGGAGGAGGGGCAGGCTAGCCTCCTGGACTTTCCCCTTCTCTGCCTGCTGGGGGTGGTTTCTGTTAATGATCAACAGAGCAAAGGGTGCCTTAGGCGTCTTGGGGAGTTGGCCCCTTGCCCTTCTCCCCCCAGGATCTCCCACCTCTGCACGTAGCCAACCACTGAATCATGTCTGGCTGGCTTGCCTGGAATGCTACCTGAGTTCAGCAGGTGAGAAGGTGGGAGGTCTCCCTTGCTGCCCTGGGCATGGCCAATCCATGGGGTGCAGAGAGCTGGGCTGCAGGGCACACCCTTCCCTTGAGCTCAGGTCAGCACCTGAGTCCTGCCTCTTGGATAAAGCTTGGATTGCAGATAAATCTGGGTGTTCTTTGGAAAACTCCCAAATGTTACATCTGAGTTACTGTCGTGGGAAACCAGTCTGTAAGAAGCCAGGGCAGGGTGGCCCGTAAGAGACACTGTTGGCCAGTGGACCAGAATGCCACCTCCTCATTTAGGTTATTTGCACTTGTTTTGAAATGTTGGCAAAGCTCTAATCTCAAGGTACAGGGCTGTAAGTGACGACTGTACCTGTTCTATCAGCTTGGGGTTTGACAAAAATAAACACTAGCTATGGCTAAACCTAGCATAGTTTTCTGTGCTATTCTGACTCCCAGTTGTACCTCAAGGAGGAGGAGCCCTGACCACCCAGGGCTGACTTGGTTTTTTTTGCCTCTACTATTCCAGGGTAAACAGTTGCTTTTGAAGTCAGAGGGACCTGGGTTTAAGCCCCTGTTTGGTCAAGGTCACTCTATGCTCTTATACCAGAGATTTAGTAAGTAATATAAAATAATTTCCCATTTGTAAAATGGGATGATGATGTTGAAGAAGAGGAGGAAGGGGGGGAGAGGAGAGAAAAAAGGGAGGAAGAAGTAGGAGAAGGAGGAAAAGAGGAAGAAGGAGATAAGTATACCAGGCTATACCGTGTTGCAGTCAGCCAATGAAAAATTACTGATGTACAACAACAACAGAGATGAATTGCAAAAACAAAGTTCATTGAAAGAAATCAGCCACAGAGAACACGTATTCTGTGAGTCCATCTGTCCAAAGTCCCAAATCAGTTCACAAAGTTAGATTTCCATGAGAAGATACAGCATGTATATACAATTCACTAAGCTGTTCAGGAAAAATGTGGCACTTCACTGTACTTAAGTTACACTGCAAAACTAAAAGCCCACAGTGTTGGTGTGAGTGTCAAATAATATGCATAAAGGCAAAGAAAGGAATCCAGTAGGGACCTGGCCTATTATAGGAATTTAAACTGTGGCTGATTTTTATAACACTGACTGGAGGATACGGATGGTCCCCCCTATTCATGAGAGAATGGGCTCAGAGTAGGTGAGTGATTTATCCCAGGAGTGGGATTTCCTCATAGAGATGTGAATCCTTGCATAGTTCCCTCTACTGTGAACTGCACCTTGTGAGCAGGTGTTGCTTCTACAGGAAAACAGAATTCACAGTGATCCAGGTATACCTGAGTTAATCATCCATGTCAGAAAAGTTTTTCTCTTTGCAGAGTCAAAAGAACTCTATAACAAGTTAGTACCCTCTCAAATTTTGTAGGTGGTAAAGGGAACCTGGGAAATTGGTGTCTGGGGAAACTCTAAGGGGTGTAGCCTTTTGTCACGCGGTCAAGTTTAACGTGCCTGTCAGCCAGGCATGATGGCACATGCCTGTAGTCCCAGCAATCGGGAGGTTGAGGCAAGTGGATCATTGCAAGTTTGAGACTAGCCTGGGATACAAAGTGAACTCAGGGCCACCCTGAACTGCATAGTGAGACCCTGTCTCAAAAAGATAAAAAATAAACAACTCTCCCCTAAAAACACAGTATCTGGGAATGTGTGTTATCACTGGTTCTATTTCCCACGTGGGGAAGGTTAGGCTCAGGGAGGCCACCGTTCCCAATTACATGGCTGGCCCTATAGCAAGTAGCTAAGGGCCTAGGGCTGTCTGAGTCCAGCACCAAGCTCAGTCCCCACCTGGTACAGGTGACAATATCAAATGGCATCACTCTTCTTTGGGGATTATAGTCCTAGAGGACACCGTTTTCTCTCAGCTCATCCTTCCCTGAGATCCCTCTATCCTAAATGGCCACCCACTCTGGGTCGTGAGCAGAGGCTGGCCTTATCTTTTGTCTCTTTTATAAAGTGGGGCAGGTCAGGTGTGACTCAGTGACAGCCACTGTACTGAGTCCACTGGCAGGCGCAGCAGCTGCACCAAAACCCAAATTCCTATGTTGACTGAGTTGCCACGTGGCTAGTGGTAGAAGGAACCCTATTTCATCTCTTAGAGGGTGGTTGTGTTGCCTACCAAGCAATCTGGAAGCACAAGGTAATGAAGC